CCGTGACTGGCGGGCATCTGGCATGAAGCACAGGGGTGGGAGGGAGGGAGGGAGGGAGGGAGGAGAAGAAAGAATGTGCTCTGTTTCAGGGGCTCCCCGGGGCTTTGACCTAAACAAGCACAAAGAGTTGAAAACAGCCTGGCCTCAAGGCTGCTGTTTGTCCAGAGCCTTTCAGACCCATCTGCCTGAGAGCATAGAGACACCCTCAGGCCTAAACTGCACCCCCAATTCTCTGGCCAAAGAACTGGCTTTGGTAGGAAGGTCCTACCAAAGGAGCTGTCTCCTGGGGCTGGAGCCAAGCCTGGGGCCTCTGCTCTGCAGCAGGAATAGCTCCTGCTGTTACTAGTTGTGGAACTAGGAAGGGCACAATAGCTATTCTTCGGGATCTGAACCAAGTGCAGAGATGCCTCACAAGAACCCCAGAAAGGAGACGTCGTCAACTTCATTTTATAGACAGAAAGACTAAACAAAACGAAAGCCAGAAAACCAAACAAACAAGCTCAGACAGCAATCTGTCCTTTTTTTGTTTGTTTGTTTTTAAAGTGACTTTTCTCAGGGTCCCAGAATAGAGCACGTGCAGATTGTAAGGGAATGCCAAAATAACTCAGCAACAAAAAAATAATATTTAAAGTGCAATCATTTAAAATAAAAAAATTAAAACACGGGATGGATAAAATCAACATCCTAAATGAAGATTTGCCTGACCCATGGGTCAGTTCCTCTGACCCATTCTTGAGTCAGTATTCCAAACCACCTGGCCTCATTCGTCAGCGACTCCAAAGCCTGAATGAGGGCTGTTTATATACATTAGCACCGACCTCAGGGGCATTCCGGAAACCCAGGAAACCCAGAAACGTCTCTGTGTGGCTCAGCCTGCAGAGCCAGGTAATCAAAAGGAGCAGGAACAAGCCTGTATCCAATCCCAATCCCAGAGCTGAATGGTGCTGGGGAGAGAGGGAGGGAGAAGAGGGGGGGGGGACGGAGGTGGAAGTGGGAAAAGGATGCATCCAGGTCTAGCCCTGACCCAAAGTCAAGCCTAGGTCTGAGGCCCTCGAAGAGAAGCCTGTGGAATCTACTGCTATGCTGCCTCATAACAGCCACAGGCCTCACCCACCCTTAGGAGAAGAAGGCTCTGTGTCTGCCTTTGTTTAAAGGGAAACCCGAGCCCCTAGCAGGACAGACAAGTTCAGAGGCAGACAGGGGAGCCAGTTTCTGAAGCTGTGTCCTTACACCTGCCTGGCCAGGTTCCACCTCTCTGGTGGGGTGGTCTTGGGTTTTGAGAGGCTCTGGATCTATGAGAGACATTCTTAACACGGGAGAGGGGAGCGAGCGCTTGGAGACTGGAATTTGAAACAAGGAATTGCTAGAGGAAGTGGGAATCTGGGAGAAAATATCTGGGGGTCCAGAGTGGGAAGCCTGAAAAAGGGGATTTAGATGCTGGGGTGACAGCTCTGGGTCCTGGGGTAACACTAACGTTCCTCAGATTACTCTATTTCCTTTCTCCAAGTCCCCCAAATCTTAGGGAGGGGTCGAGAAGTGCTGGGGGGCAAGTGCTGGGGTAGCAGGCCTACCTCCTACTGTGTACTGCCTAAGTACTGGGGTGCTCAGAGAGGCTGGGGAACTTGCAGAGGCTCACACCCAACCACTTAGGACCTCGAAGTCCTGACTCTCCTCCCTGCCACATAGGCTTCCTTGTTGAGGAGTGCATGGATCAAGGATCTCTGAACCACTCAGTAAAAATTTCCCCTATTTCCTTTCTGGATGCTTCAAACAGGCTAAGATCAAGAGCCTGTCAGATAGACATGGGGGCTGGAAGAGGAGTACCTCCGGTCACCATCCTAAGTTGGAGAGAAGCAGGCACATGAAAGAGGACTAGACCCTAAATTCCAAACGACACACCCCACGAAGCATGTTTTATACTGCTATAGATTACAATGATTCAATACTATCGATGTTATATTAACTGCCTATTAAATGTTCTTGGGCCTCCGTGAGGCATAGAGAAGCAGGCTAGGGCTACAAGAGCTTGAGTCCTGGCCTGGTTTATTTTTCCCTTTGCCTTAAGAGGGATCTGACCTTCCCCTCTGCCTGCTTGGGCTCTGATCTATGACCTATAGGCTTCACTTTTGTTGGATCCGAGATCCCTGAGTCTAAGAAGGCTGGCCAGGGCAGGAGCTGCTAGGAGCCCTGACGGGAAGCAGAGGAGGCTGGAGACATGGTATCTACAGAAACCTCAGCGCTTTGCTGGCCGTGTCAGCAATGTTCACAGGCTTCGAAAGGGTGGAATGTCAGCGATTCATGTGAACTTAGGGTGCTAAGAAAGATGAGGGTCCTCCTGAGATGAGAAACAGCGGAGGTGTATGCTACCGGCAACCGAGGAAGGACCCTCCTGCAGCAAGAGAGAGAAGCCCAAGCTGGAGACTGGCAAGGAAGGCCCTGAGACACCGGCGGCTCACGGTGATTTATGACTTTCTCTCCCAGCCACCAAACTGAAAAAAAAAAGACAAGCGAGGCCCGGCGGGAGGCACCCAGCGCAGGGGCCGCTGAGGTCCGGCCGGGGCCCCCGCCCTCCTGTCTCCCCGACAGCTTGCAGCCGAGCCTGGCCCTCCGCTGTCCCCCGGGAGCAGCGGGTCCTCTGCTCCCAGCCCGGCCGGCGGCGAGGCCGCTTCCAATCTGCCGGGGAGAGCAAAGGGAGAGCGCGGGGGAGCGGGGCGCGAGGCCACCGCCAGCCCAGCCCTGGAGAGGACAAAGTTTCCGTTCCGCGCTCTGCGAGGGGCCACTCTCGGCCCTAGAACGCGTTTGCGGGATGCGGCGCTGAACGATTCCACAGCTGTCTAGGATGCTAAGCCGGATGAGGGCCTCAAATAGTTTCCCAGAGACTCAGGGCTTGGGGTAGGAGTGCGCCTAAAAGGGTAGTCTGAGTTCCCCGCGAGCTGCTGGGGAGGCGACTCTGGCCTTGGGTCCCTGCTGCATAGGTGCTCAGCTCTGTTCCCTCGCAGACGAGGGCACAGTCGATCCTGGGGCCGAGTGCAGAGAATCCAGGCCCCCACCCGTTGCAGTTACTTTGGGGTCTTGGGCCCCGGCACTAATAGAGGCTGACCCCAGAAAGCCGCAGAACTAGAGCGCGGTAGCGAGGTCCGGAGGGTGAAGCGGAAAAGCCATATTTTCATTTTCAGCACTGCCTTGAAAATATAACCCAGGCTAGCCACGGTGGGTGCTGACTACCAAGCTGGCCCTAGACATCTTCGTCATCTTTGTGCCAGCTCAAAACTGGCATTGTCCTGTCTAGAGGTACATAGCACACACACACACACACACACACACACACACACACACACACACACACAAAACAAAACAAAAAAAAAAAAAAAAAAAAAAAACAAAGCTTCTCAGGACTTGAGCCCCAGCGAGGCTACAGGTTGGGGATGAAGAGGTCACTGACTTCTTTGTTTCTTCAGGCCATAGTCATATTCGTGGGTCCCCTTAACAGTCTAGACTTGATCTTTCCCACGGCTCAACTCTTGCCTCCGAATAAGGCAGTGCTCCGGTCTCTTCTCTGAAAGACATCAGGCTTAACCTTCTGCTCCAGGACAGCAGGTCCGGAGGCCAGGAGAGGATTGCATGGTTTTGTGTGTGTGTGTGTGTGTGTGTGTGTGTGTGTGTGAGAGAGAGAGAGAGAGAGAGAGAGAGAGAAAGAGAGAGAGAGAGAGAGAACCCAAGCAAAACACCCTGAAAACAAAAATTCTAATTCTTTCTCGTACTAGGAAGGGGACTTCCTACACAAGCAAATCTTTTCTCCACTGGGTTTTGCTGCCTTTCTGTGGGATGAGGAAGAAAACTGGGAGGTAGAAAAGGAATCTACGGACCGCGGTTCAGTGGAGTAGCTCGAATAATTGTAGACAGGCTCGGGAGAGGGTTTTCAAGGCCGCTCATCCCAACTACAGGCCACGAAGCTGGCCCTCCTCCCAACGGCCCCTGCCCCCCTCGGCTAATCATCTTCATTAGGGGCCTCATCGCCGATCTAATGAAGGCAAACTGTGTGGAAATCGCCGGTAAACAGTTAGGTCTGCGCTATAATTAATTCAGTGTCTCTTTTAATCAAACTGGAAAAGAATCGGGCAGCGGCTTGTGGAGCCGTGACATCACCCCCAAAATCGGCCGGAGCCAATCAGCGTCATCACTCCGGGGACACGTGGGTGAGTCCCCTTTTAAAAAAAAAAACACAACACAACGAAAAAAAAAGAGAGAGAGAAACAACAAAAAAAAAGCTAGCCCCAAAGAAAAAGTGACACAAGTTCGATTTTTTTTTTAAAGGAAGTGGGGGGGGGGGCCCGAAGGCGAGCGCTGAGGACAGGTGAGAGCTGCAGTGGGAGCCGCGGGGCGCTGTCCACGGTGCTGACGGGCCCTGCCGGGCCGAGCGCTCACGCAGGATCTCCGGGACCAGGTGGAGCTTTCCGATCCGCAGGCCGCAGCCGCTGTCCGCGGTGCTGAGGCCTCCAGGTGCGCTCTGTTCCGCCTGCCCGGAGCGCGGCCCCGGCCGGCTATCCGCCCTGCTGACCCCTACCCTCGGCTACCGTTTGCCTGGAGCAAACGTGCAGTTTGGATTTTGCTTTTTAAAAAAGACGATCTTGATTCAGATTCCAACAGCCTCGCACTTCTTCTGTGCCAAAGGGGCCCTCAGGCCGTTCTTCTACCTTTTGGCTCTCCCCAACTTGACGCGCCCTCCTCCCATTCCTCCCTGACACTCCCACCACCACCCCCCCTCGGCTCGGCTGCTCGGTGCGGTGCTGCAGAAGACGCGTTGAACCCTTTTGGATGTAATGCGCAGAGGAGGTTGGCCCAGAGCTTCCGGGCTCCCCCAAGGCTGAACTCCTTCCAAGGTGCCCACAGGCTCCCTGCCCGCCTTCCCCATGCCAGCCCGCAGCTAGGGGCAGGGGCAGCGGCGGCTGGGGTTGGGGGTGGGTGGGGAGCTTTTGGGGAGGACAGGTCGCAGTTTGGCTATGGAAGGCTCCAATGGCTTTGGGATTGACTCCATTCTCTCCCACCGAGCGGGCAGCCCCGCCCTTCCCAAGGGGGACCCCTTGCTTGGGGACTGCCGTTCACCCCTGGAGCTGAGTCCACGCTCAGAGAGCAGCAGCGACTGCTCTTCGCCAGCCTCACCTGGAAGAGACTGTCTGGAGACCAGTACCTCGCGGCCCGGTGCTGCATCTGGCCCAGGTTTGGACTCTCACCTGCAGCCGGGGCAGCTTTCAGCCCCAGCCCAGTCGCGAACCGTCACCTCCTCCTTTCTGATCAGGGACATCCTTGCTGACTGCAAACCTCTCGCGGCCTGTGCACCCTACTCGAGCAGCGGGCAGCCTGCAGCCGCTGAGCCTGGGGGCCGCCTTGCGGCCAAGGCCGGGGAGGACTTTCGCGACAAGCTGGACAAAAGTGTCAGCAGCGCCTCGTCGGACTCTGAGTACAAAGGTAAGAAAACAAGGTGAAAACTGTGTGTGTGGGGGGGGGGTTTCTAAAATGTGACATTTAGAACTTGAGAGCACACACTTGGGGACAGGCACATAGTCACCTCAGGGGTCCCCCAGGCCCAGGCTGAGAGTTGGTCTTATCTCTGGACCTCTCTGTCAGCCACAAGGTTGGGCCCTGGAGCAACAAAGAGTTCAGAGTGTGTGGCCCAGAGAAGCTGAGGGGGACAGTGTGTGTAAGGGAGAGCAAGCCTGGCCAGATGGAACAAAGCAAACTTTCTAAGTTCCTGACTTGGGACCACAACCTCTCAACCAGGTGTGCAACAGTGCGAAGCTTCTTCGAGGACACTGTTTTGTCGGTATGAAAACTACAGCAGGAATCTTTTAGCCTTTAATCTGAATTTCCCAACAAGAGGAGAAAGTGGGCCTCCCCACCCATTGGGGAGTGTAGTCTGAGGCCTGAACCTGTAGATGAAGAGATCAATTTGGAAGAGGAACAGGCAGCCTGGCCAGCTGGCTGGCTAGACCGAGTTCTGAGGTCCGGTGGAGGGGAAAGGACCCCCCACAATCCACGCAGAAGCTCTCTCTGAATGGGGTCTTACTTCAGTGACCACCAGGGTGTCTTTAAGACCTAGAGATTCCTGAGTGACAGGTCTGGTCACTCCCATTTCCACTCTGGGAATCTTTGTGGTGGTTCCCTTTTCATTCTGTCTTAACTAAGGCTCCGAGATGGTGTTAAAAAGAAAGGGGGAAGGACCAGAAAAAGAAGAGAGGGGAGGGAGAAAAGAAAACGTTCTTTAGTTTTGTTTTATATCTTTCGGCTCCACTCTGACTTTAGCTGCTATTAGGACCAGGAAGACTTTAGGTGGCAAAGGGCCTGGGTGTCACAGGGAGCAGGGGACGGAGCTCTCTGCCAGCCAGCAGGAAACTAGGGCCTGGTGGAGACTGCTCCTGGCTTTGTAACTATTAACTCCCCAAACCTCTTCCTCGAACCGATACTTCGCTATAAAGTCAGCTTCCTTGCTGCCCGCATCTCCTGGTATCCATTTGTTGAATTTCACAACTATTTAGTTAGGGTCACTTAATTCTTCCTCCCAACCAAGAATTCCTTTGAGGGTCGACCTGGACTCCAGACTGAAACCCCTCAGGGGTCCTAGCCCACATCTCACTTCTCTCTTCTTCCCCCAGTGGAAATGGCTAGGCCTCCTTCAAGCAGGTCATGGACCCATCATCTCTAGAAAGGTCACAGCTTCAACCACAGAGCTAAGGAAGAGGTCTAGAGGCCTCTGGGAAACTCGGTCCCAGTACACCCCCCCACCCCTACCTGTTTAGAGCAGCAAAGAGAACTCACCTTGAAAAAAGGTGTGTGAGTGAAAGGCAGATATAATGTGTCACATTGTGTGTGTGTGTGTGTGTGTGTGTGTGTTATTCCTTACAATTCGCAACCATCTCTACCTAGCTTCATGGTCAGAACGAAGAGCAATCGGGTCCAGCCCTGCCTTTACGAACAGCTGCCTCCTTTTATGTTTTTGCCCCTAAGCAGGATTTTGAGGAGAGATTCCATTTCGTTTAAGATAATTGGAATATCAATTTTCTTCTCCTGTCCCTGATGATATCTGAGCAGGGAGATGACGAGGGAGGGAGCCGAGAGCCGGCTGTCTACGTATCACTTAAACAGCTTTGGAGAGCAGGATGCTGCAGAAAGTTCCAGCCACCTCTAGGCACCGGCTGTTGCTTTTGTACTTTAAACATTCTGAAGTGAAGGGGGGTGGGGGGTCCGCACAGGCAGAGCAAAGTGGTGCCGAGCACATTCTTCAAACAGGGGTGACTTTAGCAGAGTTGGGAAGCTGGTCTGAGAGACAGACACAGGAACCAGGAATTCGCCGCCAAGTCACAGAATATGCCAAGGACAAAATGAGGCAGCGGTGGGGGACAGGCCAGTCTCATCACAAGTTTTCTGGCATGAAGGTTTCTTAAACAGTTATTTACTGAAGTTGGAACGGGGCTTGAGGTAAGGCAGGTAGCAACAGTAAACTGGCTGGAGCCCAGGTCCACACAGGAAGGGTCTCTAGCCCTTCGGCTCTAGACTGATGGGATTCAGGTCAAAGTCTGAGAAATGGACACAAGGTAGACAAAATCAGACTGAACTAGGTGAGTCCTAAAGGCTCTGGCAGAGCCAGAAAGGACCAAAGTCAAACGAAGCAACAAACAAACAAACAAAACAAACAAACAAACAAAACCAAGTGGTTGGTCAACCCACCAGAATGAGGGATTGTTATAAGTTGTCCAAGTAATTAGGGGGTAAAGTAAGATTTCGGCAATATCAAGTTTGAGGTTTGAAACAAGGATACACTTTAGGCTTTCTGGGGAGAGAAGTCATCTTTATCCCCGAGGGTTCTGAAGCCTCCCAGCAGCGGCAGAAGGCTGAAGGCTGGCTGGGACAGAGTTATTCCAGGACTCCGCTGCCGGTGCCGGGGAGCTGGGGCTGCAGGCTCCCTCCCTGCCGGGAAGCACGGCCTTTCCGGCTGAAAAACCTCCTCCCCAGTGGCTCAATTAACCGGATTATTGTTTCCCACAGAGAGAAATCACCTCCCATTCAGCTGAACCCTGTCACGGCAAACGCCAGGCACAATGAAACTCCCTATAAAAGAATATAAAGAAAGCAGGGATAGGTGGGCGGGAGCCCCAGCCCAAAGGGTCATTTTGGAAGAAGTCGACTATTCCCTTCCAATCTCACCTTAAGAGCCGGCGATGGACTCTTTCGATTAAATGAGTTTTCTGTTAAGTCAACCCCCAACGAAAGTAGGGGAAAATGAACTAATCCAGCTCTCTCCGGTCCACGGTGGACCTCAGGAGCGGGGAATAGATGTCCATTTGCCTGACGGAGGGCTGTCCACAGGATCGTTACGCCGGTGGGGTGGGAGCCACAGCGGGCACAACGAAGCCCAAGCCCCGACCTCTGTGATACACGCAGCCCTTCGTGCCTAGGGACGATGAATATGTCTCCCAGCGTTTGGTGCTCGCAGATGCCCGCACCCTGCCTGCCTTCCACCCGCATAGTTCGGAGTGGCCTCGGAATTAATTGTTACAGATTCCTGGCCAAACCGGGATCGGTGAGGCATGAGCACAGTTGTCTGCTCTTCAGGACTATGGGGTGCTGAGGAGCGAACAGGGTTTTGTTTCTCCATGCGGGTTTTGCGCCCAAATGCAGAGCCCACCACCCAAACTCTTTCTCGGTCGGTGTCAGACTAGGCCCGTCTACTCGGAGGCTGGCTTTCTCTTTCCCAGTGTGTGTGTGTGTGTGTGTGTGTGTGTGTGTGTGTGTGTGTGTGAGAGAGAGAGAGAGAGAGAGAGAGAGAGAGAGAGAGAGAGAGAGAGAGATTGGGGGAGAGGTTGAGTTTCTTCTGGGAGCTGCCAGCGGCTCTGCCCCTGGGCACTTCCTAACACCATTTCCTCCTCACTCACTGTTCACACCCTTCTTCTGAGGGCAGGTAGTCCTGGCACCGATGGCGTCCCTGTGAGTTTAATACTTTGGGACCCCAGAGGTCTGCGGCTTGTCGAGTGGGGAGTGGGACGCGAGGGCGCAAGCACTACCGATCCCTGACGTGACCTCTGTGTCTCCGCAGTGAAGGAGGAGGGCGACCGCGAGATCTCCAGCTCTAGGGACAGTCCCCCTGTGCGCCTGAAAAAGCCACGAAAAGCGCGCACCGCCTTCACCGACCATCAGCTGGCGCAGCTGGAGCGAAGCTTCGAGCGGCAGAAATACCTGAGTGTTCAAGACCGCATGGAGCTGGCTGCCTCGCTCAACCTCACTGATACACAGGTCAAGACCTGGTACCAGAACCGCAGGTGAGGTTTTGCTGCAGGGTGGGGTTTGTAGGGGTCTTCTTCTGGAGCCTTAGGTCTCTCCCATTCCGTCAAAGTAGGGAAACTGAGGCTCTGAGAAAAGACCTTGCCCTAAGTCCCACAGAGAGGGGCAGAAAGGACACTAGACTGGCATCCAAGACAGGTGAACCGGCACCGAGGTTAATAGAGATTTGAGCCTTGCTCCACCCCAGCCCATGTCCCCAAGGAACCAGGCTGAGCCTAGGCTTTGAGGCCTCTGAGTTCTTTTCTAGGGAAGAGTGGCAGCCAAGTGTCCAGAAAGCAGAGAGGTCCTGAGGTTGTTGTAGTAGGGGCCAGTGGCCTCCTAGCATTTACAGTCAAGAGGAGCTGGGTGAGAGAGACTGGGAAATGGATATTAGGGCACTGGTCTTGAACCTGCTTCTTAATCTCCTTCTTGGACATTCACAGGACTTAAATACACTGGTAAGACACACGTGCACCGACATGTCAGTCTGAATGGTGACACGCTCTCCCACACACTTAGCAGAGGCAGGAATGGTGCTTTCCATAAACAAGCCTCAGAACACACAGCTCCATTAATAATAAATACCGATTACGGCTTCAGGCATCAATAATTAAGGCTCGTTGCAGTAATTACACAATTATGACGACGAGGAATTATTCAGGGAGGGGAAGGGGGCTAGTGTGACTGAGCCCACCTTCTGGAACCCAGGCAGGCACGCCCAACCTCACCCCAGGTGAGTGCAGAGGTCTTCTGCACTCACTGCTGACTTCTTCACTTGCCCTAGGCCTCTCAACTTCTGGGCCAGAGGGATTTGGGACTAGCTAGCCCCAAACCTAGGTGGCCTGAGTGTAGGCAGAGCTGAGAGAGAAAGTGCGCATTCCTCCAGAGAAATTTCTGCTTGGAGTCCCCTGGGCCTCTGGAGCTACCCCCCTGAGCTGGGAGTTGGCTACCCCGTAGTCAGCTCTACCACCCTGTCTGTCGCTCCAGTTTCATTAGGCCTTCCCAGGGGAAGCATATCCCGAGGGTACCTCATCTGTAAGTTTGTATATGCACTTTGAAGTCAGGCAATCTGACTAGGAGCAGGGATCTGCCTGCTACTTGCAGACCATCATGAAAACTGTCCCACACCTCAAGGTTTTAACCTGTAAAATGGGGACAACAGTCACGGAAAGCCAGTGGAAGGGGAAATGATGCACGATGCATTTGACCTGGGCACTCTATTGTTTATTAGCAAATTAATATGCTCCCTGTTGGACACCCTGTGGCTCTCTGTGCCAATCACTAGGAAGGAGCAAGGGTTGTGGAGTGTCCTAATCCTGACCCCTTCCTCTGCCTTGATTTCCTTTCCCAGGACTAAATGGAAGCGACAAACGGCCGTGGGGCTGGAGCTGCTGGCGGAGGCAGGCAATTACTCGGCGCTTCAGAGAATGTTCCCGTCGCCTTATTTCTACCCACAGAGCCTCGTTTCGAACCTGGACCCGGGTGCCGCGCTCTACCTGTACCGCGGCCCCAGCGCGCCTCCGCCTGCCCTCCAGAGACCTCTGGTGCCCCGTATCCTCATCCACGGACTCCAGGGCGCCAGCGAGCCGCCCCCGCCGCTGCCCCCGCTGCCCGGCGTCCTCCCGCGCGCCGCG